GTACAAAATGAGAAGAATACTGGAAACCCAGCAAGGACCGAGCCAACAACATCTAACCTGCACGCGTGTTGCGCTCATAAATCAAAGTTCCGAACATTGAAGAGTTTGGGGTGCCTGGAAGCAAAGCCTGCCTGCTGCAGATGGGAGCAACATGAAATCAGAGAGCACCAGTCGGTGCTTGAAGGACTTAAAGTTTAAAGGTAGCACGCAATGACCGAGGTTACGATGCTCAGCTACAGAGGCTGTTCACACAAGCATTCAGCAACGCCTGATCCGTGAAAAGAAGCCCCTTCTCGAAACCTCTTTCATCTGCTTCCGAGCATCCGTAGGTGATCCGGCAGATGGCAAAGCTGGCTAAGCCCAAGGCGCAGATCAGGGGCGACAGGCTGCAGAAGGTCAGGGCCATGGACAGCAACAGGGAACAGCGAGCGGAGCGCGCGCCTAAGTAGCATCATCGGGGCCGCACCCCTTCAGACGGCCTGGTGCACCGCTATCAGTAATGGCTACACAGATAACTTGCAAGAGCGATTGGAGCAGAAGGAAGCGCGAGACCTGCGTGCTTTCAGAGGAGCCCAAACCATAGTAAGCCTGGTCTTCAGGCTCACAAAGCTCTTTGGCCGTGTCGGCTCCATACATCGCCTGCTTCCAAAGAGGATCACATGGCATTCATGGTTCAAACAACGGTTGTTGACACTTTCGTGTGCTTCATTTTGTTTCACCTTCCCATGCAAAATGTCGACAAACCGGACCGCTTAGGCTTCTGCTTTGAAGCAGTACGGGGATAAAGGAGTTGCCAGCTCAAGCACGACCCTTGATTGATACGTGCAGCTGCATCGTTTATGCTGCCCGGCCTTCATCGCCAAGTATTTCACTGCGATCGGATAGCGTGCAGCCTCTAGCACCTGCAATGCTTCCTTTGCACTCACACCGAACTGGGGCCCATTCATGCCTGAACGGTCCACTGTAGAGGGAAGTAGCTCAGGTAGAAGTGCGTGGTGTATGGCAACGTTGAAGAAAAAAGCGAAAAGATCTCCTGCCAGCAGAGCTCTCACCCAAGAAGCCTCAAGCCATCAAGCACGAGAAAGGTTCCAAGCGCCCTCGAGCGCCTTGGGATGATCCACCAAGCGGCTCATCGTGTAGAAGACCGAGGATCCCACTGCAGGCACCAGAAGCACCTCGGAAGTGGTGAAAGGCTCAGAGAGAGAACAAACCGAGAGGCTTTTAGCCACGGCACGAAGATGACGAGGAAGAAGAAGTACCAGCTCTGGACTTCAAGCTGACACCTGCACTTCACGCTTTCACAGCTTTCAAGTTTCCCGCTTGCTCTCAAGAGAGGAGGGAGGAGGAGCAGCCTTCTGAGGCAGGAGCCGTCTCTCTGACTTGGTCACGAAGAGGTGGCTGCAAATGAACATGAGACAGCTAGGCAGGCCACCTGGGCAAGAATCTTGCAAAGGTGCAAGGCTTGTGCTCGATTCAAGAGTAGTTGCAGATTGGGTGCTCATGAAGAGGGCCAACGCAAGAGTGCTGGCCAGACCGTCCCAGATGGAATGTAGAATCGGCCAATAGGTCACGATGTAACGAAGACGTGGGACCTCGGCAGAGTCACTAGAGCCCACAAACGTAACCCTGGCTCCCACCATTTCCTCACAATCGCGCAGAGGACCACACGACCGTCTGAAGCGTTTCCAGCCTGAACGCAGCACATGCGTCACATGCTGCTGCAGAGAATCAGGAGGTTCAGCCGAACTAGGCTGCCCGCTGTGCGACCGCAGAGAAGGCCACAATGAAAGGTGCGAAGACCCAGAACAAGAAGAGAATGCACGAATAACCCATTAGCACGTCTCCCCAGCTCATGCCATCTCTCCTTGTGCGGGCATCGTCCACAATCAAGAAACAATCCCTACAAGGAGAGAATAGCACAACATCAGCCGAGACTCTCAAGGTCATGGTGACGCACCTCACACAGCCGCTTTCAATGCGTAATCTTGTAGCCCAGTTCAAGGGTGTTGTTCAGCAGGCGGAGATTTTTGACTGAGCTCCTGACATCGTGTGGAGCTGGAGCGCTGGAGACCAGGAACTGGAGCCCGTCTGCACGGTATTGCATCCTCAAGGCTATTTCAGCATCCCTCCTGTTCCAGAAGGTGACAAAGGCGCTGGTGCCGTAGACCTGGCAGCTGCTGGCGCAAGCAGCAACAACGATCACGATTTGACCAGACTGCCACAGAATTCAGAATGGCCTTGCTAGCGAACTCAGGTTCCATGGAGTCGCCGAGACCCAGTCGGCCTTGCTCTGCCTGCTTGCAGAGATTCTCAAGTGAGAAAAACAATTTTGAGAGTTCTTTTGGCCCAGGGGCCAAGAGAGCCGAGCGCTCCGTCTGTAGGACCTGCCACGGGTTCTGAAGCTACACATTTGTTACACCAGCACACCAGTTACACATAGTTGCTACCAGCTTATCAGCAGATTCAGCCGTGCTCTGACGCATCGCCTCGGACCAGTGGTCTATCGCATCACGAGGCTCGCTGCGAATCGGGCTGTCCAGAGTAAAGTCTTGCACGGATCTTGGCCTCATCATCGTCTGTCCTTGACCAAAGGGCAGGTGCAGCGGATTGTCACAAAGCCTGCAACTTGAGCTTGCATTTTGATTGCTTTTTGCATCTGTGGCTCTGCGCCCAGTCTTGGCCAGGTAAGCTTCTGCCTGACGTCTCTCAGAGCTCGGCTGTCATAAGATGTTGTGGGTGGCAGGGTGTTGGGCCTGCTCGAGCTGCTGCTCGGCCCAGCGCACGCTGGCGCGCAAACCGCGGAGGGCCTCAGTGGAAGGCTTTCTCAGCTTTTCCCATTGGCCTCTCACACGTCCCTGCCTGCGTTTTACGCGTGACGTGCGTCACTTCCACCACCTCACGACCGAAGACTGAGTTGAAGTAGGCGGACAAGCCTTGGTCAACGAAGATCAAGGCTGCGCATCTGGCAACAATAATGCCTGTTGGATCTGACAGGTTCTCACGAAAACTTGATCTGGCCGGGCAACTGTCGTTGGAACAGAACTCGGGCGGTATGTGCTCGACCAGAAGCGTCCTCCAAATCTGGACGTCGCCAGAAGATGCACTTTCTTATCGTCGTGTCCTTGACCTGGGTGCAGGCATCTTCCGGAGCCATTGCACTCGCCGTTCCACAAAGGAAGCTTGCGCAATGGCAATCGAATTTTCCACGACGAGCACCACAAACCAAACCTGGCAGACCAACAGACTCCGGTCTGACGAACAGAATGTTCAGGGCCAGCTGAGAAAGGCGACCAAGACAACCAACGCGATCAAGCAGCAACCGCGCTGTGAAGCCAGCATAGCCAACTGCCTGCAACGACGCTGCTTGGGGCTGTCAAAGCTGCCATGCTGCTTTGTTGTCAGCATCCAGACAGTATCAATCAAGATGCCGTGCTCGACGTTGGCCATTCCAATCCTTGCGTTGCACCAAAGAAGAAGCGCAGGCAAAGGTATTCCGTCATCCTGGGCCCACGCCAGCTGAGCTTGTCCTCTTGCACCACGGCACCACAGAAATCTGAGCACATCACTCTGCTCAATATTGAGGGTTACTGCATCGAATACACGTTTTCTTGCTGGAGCGGCACAGTGTAGCGGGCACAGGACACAGATCAGCGGCAGGCCAATGACCTAAAGCAAAAAGAACATGTCTCTACATCGTATGCCTCATCTCTGAGCTTGGTACAGCGAGCATCCACATTGCCATGTCCGTGAACTCCACTAGCATTGCCGCATCCAAGCCTGCTGCAGCCTGGCTTATCGCTCAATGCTGTCATGTCTTGCTTGGTGATCTCCACTTATGCTATTCTTATGCTGCTTCATGCTTCATGCTGCAACCCGGTCTGCGTCGAGATGTGGCTTATTGCTTCTCTGGGCGCGCCTCTACCTCCTCGGTGGTCAGTTGCATCGCTGCGCGGAGCCAGCCAAAGCTTCCTGAGAGCAGTTCACCTTGCACACGCATGCGCAGCAGTGGAGAAATATCATGATCGGCCACTGGGATACTCTGGCATACTGAGCAAATTTCTGCAAGGCGCGGGAGTCGAAAGGGACTTTGCCGCTACCGAGATTGCCTTCGTAGAGGAGCGGGTGCACCTTGCCCCGGGGAATGTGGCAGGATGAAACAATGCAGGTCTCAGAGCCGCTGGGTTCCCTGCGCGTCGAGAAACCTCCACGTGCCTGAGCCAGAACAGCCGAACCCCTGGCTGCAAAGCACCGGTGAATTTCTTCTGATTTTCTGACAAAGCTTAGGCGCTCGATGAGGAAAGCCACGCAGGCGGAGTGGCCAAGCAGAGCCCCCGCCAGGGCAGAAAGACCTCCAGAGAACTCCAACTCACAGAGGCTTTCGGACTTGTTTTTGCTTTTTTGAAGAAGGAAGGTTCTACTTTTATGGCTTTTTTAAAGAGGGATCTTGGTTCTTTGGTTCTTTGTTTGAAGCTGGCCTCCGGCTCGGTCGCGCTCCACTCCCGAGAGGTCTGCCAAAGGCACAGTCGCTTGGCGAAACACGGCGCTGCCCGCGGCGGAGACGGCTCGATTCGTCCATGACCTCAAGTACACACTTCCAATCTGAAGCTGGAGAGCTAGTGGCTAGTGGCTACTAATACTAGTGCTACTAGTGCTGCTGTGTATCCCCAGCGCTTTTAGCGCGCGTCCTGGACTAAACCATGCGCTGGCAACCTGGAAGCAGAGCTCCACAGCTTCCTTTTGTCACCAGTCTGCAAGATTCAGAGGCCTGCTGGGTACCGGGGAAGGCCAGTAGAAGGCCGGCCGGAATGATGCAGCCACTTCGCTTGGCAGGGCGCTTGGCAGGCTGCCGAAAAGAGCGAAAAGAGCCGTCAGCCGGCATGCTGTGAGTTGTCACATGGCTGCTGCGTGGGGGAAAACAATATGAAAAAAAAGACAAAACAAACAGATGCATACAAATGCATCATGCATCTGCAGCGCCAACACCCTGGCAGCTGGCCAGCCTCTGGTATCCGGGCCGAGAGCGTGCCTCAAAAGCCGGGAGTACCCCTTTCGATCCCTTCCGAATCTGCATTTCCATTTCAGCGATCTCTCTAGGGATGGCGCTGCTGGAGTCTTCCCTCACGAAACCTTACAATCTGTGCTGCTTTGCAGAAGGCTCCAGAGAAACAAGCCGCCACCTTCACGCCTCTGCCGGAAGCATCTCAGCCGGCCACTGCCCGAGGTAGGATGCCGACGGTACCCAAAGTGCTGGCAAAAGTCACCCAATGAAGCGTAGCCTGACCGGTTTTCTTTGTGGCTGCGGAATGTGACCCCACCCCGCCAAAACTTTCAGAAACCTGGCAGTAGATCACTCAGCTGCTTCTGCACGGCTACCTTTCAAGCCGCACATGTTTCAACTTCATGCCTTGAATCTTTTGCCAGTGATAGGAGTCCAGCTACAGGGTCGGCAAGACCTCGCTGGGTTCGCATTTTGGCCTGAAAGCTGACAAACCAAGCTTGCTTGTACTTGTGACAACCCGACAAGACTGCAATCACAGCAAATTCCAATCGCATTCAGATTGTGTTCTAGCTAACCCAATTTCAGCCTTGGACACGCGCTCTTCCATCAAGAGACCTTCGGCTAGCAAAGCCTGTCACGAATGTCCACAGCAGGCAAAGCATGTGTGAGCAATGGCAGGCATCCAAACAAGGCGCTTTTCTCTTCGCACTTGGACCTAGAGGGTGCGCACCACCAGGCACACAGTGAGAGGGCCACCAAGAAAGTTGTGACGAGGCCTCTCTTCAGCAGCCTTTGGACCTCCCAGGGAGCGCGGTGCTCCCCGTGCCGTGCTTTGAAGGCCCGGAGCTGCTCATCCTCACTGGCTTTTGGCTGTTGCAACAAGCGCTGTTGCGAGTCCTTCATCGCTTGTGCCAGAAGCCGCGGATCCTCTTCAACAATGCCAAGGATCTCCGCTTCTTCAAGGCATTGCACCAAGTTTGTCGCATCAACAAAGTTTGCGCTGACAGCCACAGAAGTTTCGACATTGTCCACTTGGTGTGGCCAGCCTGCGGGAACGAAGATGAGATCGCCTGGCTGCAGCAGAACCTCGTAAATCGCTCCTTCAAATGCAGTGTAGGGTGCCAGTTCGGAGTCAAGGGACTCCACGGCATTCAGGTCCGCCGGAAACACAGGATTTAGATCTGTCAAATACATTGGATGTAGCAAGGACACGTCATCTCTGTCCACGAGGCGCCAACGCTTTGCACCGTGGCAGAGCATCATCCAGAAATGTGTTTTGAGTGTGTCGACGTGAAGCGATGACCCGGTCCCACCAGCTGCCAGAAACAAAGTGGGTCCAGCCGAGCCCGTCACAGGATGCACTGTGGCTGACGCAGAGGTGTACAAGTCCACGGGGAAGATGCGACTTGGCATCCGTAGTTCTTTTCCCAAGTCCTGGTGGCTTCTACATGAAATTCATCAATCGTCCTTCTTCCGGCTCACCGAATTTTAATCCCTGAGCACTGAGCAGCGGACCCTGCAACGTTTCAACTGCTCTTTGGTTGTTGGGTGGATCGATACCATCCATGTACCCATGAAGATCATGAAATCCTTATCTTGGGAGGGTTAGGTGACATCTTAGGCCCCCGATCCTGCTCACAGTGCTGCCAGATTGAATGGTCAAAGAGCTGCGCAGTGCCTCGTGGAGCTGGAGCTTGGGGAGCTTGCAGATAGGGGTCGACATGGGCATCGTAGAAGTCGGAGAAGGGCATGCCAGCAACAAATTCAAGCCTGCACAACAGCCTTCTTCGTGTCCCCTTGAAATATGAACAATAAAGAGAAGAAGAGAAGAAGCGTTCTGCCAAGATCTGACAAGCATCGAGGCCCAGTTGGCCGACGCCGCCGCGCAGCGCCGCACGGGCACTCGCCGGCTGCCGAGCTTTTCCCGCAGCTCCGCGGGCGTCCACCGCAGGGCGGAGGGAAAATTTCGGATAACGCACGGCCGTCCCGGTTGCAAGAAACGTTCCAGAACCTCTTCCCGCGACACGGAGCCAGGAAGGATCTCCACTGCCATCCTGTCACGCTTTGCTCGCTTCTCCCGCGCTTGCCGATCTTCCTGCCACCGGATATGCCGCTTGACCAACTCGCTCAGCAGGGCAGCGGCTGCGCCCCGGCCGTTTGGGCTTCCGGCACTTCCGGCATTTCTGGCACCCAGCAGCTCCAATGCCTCGACATGGCGGCGCTGCAAATCCAGCACGGAGGCCAGCCGAGCCTTCTGCCAGCACGACTTGTCGCGCGAAGCTCGGAGCTGCTGCTCTGCCTGTTGCAGGCAAAGGACCGCCGAGGCCGTGCCGCGAACCAAATCCAGCGGCGCCAGGGGCGGATTCGCTTCGCAGAGCTCCCCGATGAGACCGGCGCGCAACTCCCGCCAGGCCCGGCGTGCCATTGCAGCCCACAAACAATACTGGACTTCTTAGACTAATTATCGCATACATCACGCATCTGACACCACTTTCAACCTCTACCAAGGAAAGGACTCGAAGTGTCGAGAATGAATCCCACTAATTGCTCCAGGCTGAATTCTGTCCCGGCCTTCTCTTTCTTCAAGATGTCCGTGTAGACCTACAGAGTCTGCAAGCTGTCTACAGACCGACAAGATCGAAGACTCGCGTCAAACAGCGGCAGTTCCTGTTAGTGCTTTCATGCAAACGGCTCGTAACAGCTAAATGGCAGCTAAACGGGATCGTCATACATTCAAGCCTGTGCAAAAGTGGACGCAATTCAGCTGAGAAGTTTGCCACCAGGGCTGCCGCAGGGTCGAAAGTGGCAGAGACCTCAGCGGTTCACCTCCTCTTTGTATCCTGAAAACCTCCTCAGCTCGGAAGGAAAAAGGGCGCCACCCCTGGAAAGCGCGGCTGCGGCTTGTTCTTGTCAGGAGGCCTCCCAAACCTCGCGCACGAGACCTTGACAGAAGTGGATGGCCTTTTCATACAACCAAAAGGGTAGGGTTCAGGGTGGTACTCCTGATGCCTGCGGTTTGGCAGGAAAATGGAAGCTTGCCACCAGTTTGGAAAATCGGAGTCGTGTAAGAGATTTGGGATCGTGGGCCTTCAGATATCCTGCCCGTCGTGCGTCGCACTGATCAAACGCTCAAGATCAGTTGACTCAACATGCTTCAAGCCTACTCTGTCCAAGGTTCCAGGCAGCCAACATCTCAAACACAAGCTACTTTTCCCCCAGCCGCAAACAGTACTTCAAAACATCTTGGCAACACCTCCTCAACATGATGCAACGCAAACATACGCAAACCACACCTTTTGACAGCAAAAAGGAGTCTGGCCTTTAGCTCCATGGCTGCTCACATGAAAGTGTGGAGGCAGAGCTGAAAAAAATGTACTACACATCTTTGCGGTTCACATCTCACTCGATGTCTAATTTCCTGATCTATAGTAAACCCAAACATCTGCACGTAAAAACATGCTGCACATTTCCCGCAAGCAAGACCACTGCAGAAACGACAACAAGGAAGAAAGAGCTGTTTTCCTTTGTGGAATCACAATATCTTGACACATGCCTTTGGCATGTGCTGCTATCTGGCAAGCTTTCGTTTGAAGGTGCGGAAGTCGAATCGTTGTCATTGTCTATCTAAGTGCCATCTGTTCAAGCTGTGGCTCTTCATCTTTCTCAAGATTACACCGAAGTTCTTTGGATGACATAGCGTCCGATACTTCTTCTTAAATCACCAGAGCCGCCTCATCGTTTGAGCAGAGGCATTCTGCGAGTGTGCTTCACACACCGCGAAGCGAACAACTGTCAGTTGCTCGGTTGCTCACTCCCTGTCGATGGACCTCGTCCATGCCGACCGGCCCACTGCCACCCTTAAAGCGTGCAAGGGTGAGTATGACGATAGTAATAGTAACAATGTAATAAGAATAGCAACAATAATCGTAACAGTAATAATCATAGTAATTAAGAAGCAGCTAAGCATAGCTACGCTGAGCCTTTGCTTAGCCTTTGCTGAGTAGCACACAGGATGGGTGCCTGGCGGGCCTGGCGCTCGGCGACTGGCCTTGGCTGTAAAAAAAAGCCTCGCACTCCTACGCCGCCTACGCTCTCTCAACGTCGCTCCAGCGGTCCAAGGGGCGAGGAACCCGAAGATTTCCTCAAAGCTTCCTCTTCCTGCCTGGAGGTCTTGAAACAACACGTGAGTTGAAAAATAGTCGAATAAACTTGAGCTTTGAACAGGTTTGAGCAGGTTTTGCCAGGCCTGGTCGATGCCTTGCCCTGGGCAAAGCGAGAAGCACACATTCAGTAAGTAGAAGCTGTCATGTTGTGTTGTTCTGTGTCAGAACTGTTTAGGTACCAGGCAATGGTGGTCTCTGGCACCACTTCATTGGAGACCTCAGATGCTGTGACCGCCGAGTCGCAAATCATCTCGTGAACTCTAGGGCAGCTGCAAAGCGGCTGGTCACCGCAGCAAACGACGAAGTGGGGCTCTCGGCGCTGTACCGTCGAGGCTCAGAGCCTCCTGCGAAACATCAGGGCGTGACTTGCCCGCTGCGGTATGAATGAGACGAGGACCCTTTGCAAGACACTGAAATTCAGTTGAACCGAGACGAAGCGCCTGCCCTGTCAGGCTTGGTTCCGCTCTGGGCCGGGCCCGCCTCATGAATCAAACTGGATAAGTAGCAATGTGTTCCAAGCATCTGTAGCCATCTGTGGCTGCTGCCACCATGAGGAGAGGCGCCAGAAAGGTGAAGGTGTAGGTGATGGCAATGACAGCATTCAGCATCAAAGTCCAGCCCAACTTTCCTTGGCTTATTAGGGACACACGTGGAAAAAATCCTGCAACTCCTTAGTGCCGGTGAGCCTCTGAAAAGCAAAATGCGACAAGGAAGCAGAAACGCACAGCCCGCAATCGTGGTCAGCGCACCTCTGGAAGGCAAGAGCCGAAATGACTCGAAATGTCAATGAGCCAGGATCCAAGCCTCCGAGGATGGTAGGTGTCAGCATGACGAGCCTCAAGCTCTGGGCAAATGTCTGGGAGATGCCACTTCGTAAGCTCAGCTCCCATCAATCAAACACGTCTTGTGTATGTAGCTATGGTGCGCATTGTGAACACGTGTTGTCGCTCGCCGGTCCATGGCGGTGTGGTATCCTCCCACAACATCAGATAGAGTCATACACAACATTTGAGCCGCTGCTCCAACACCACTCCAAACACAAGAAAGTATACTCATTTTGCTCGCTGTCCATGGGCAAGGTGGAGACAGTAGTCCACGCTGAGGCCGACGAAGATTGTAGCGCCGATGGCCTCCACGACCCCGAAGTCATAGTCCAAAACGTTCCTCAACAACCCTGACACTCTGCGCTTCAGCTCTTCGCAGCAAATGCTTAAATCGTTACCCTGCAACGCTCCAACGCAAGATAGCAAAACAAAGGCTCCATGGCAGGAGATCAGGCAGCCTACGCGGAATCAGTGCAGCAGAGGTTCAGTAGGCATCCCGCAAGCACACAAACCACCAGCAAGATGTTAAGGCACACATAGAAGGCAAGCAAAAGATCCCTCGTGAAGAGCGCGACAGCCACCATTGACGTGCCCAGAGATAGGGAGAATGCCAGGACTGTGCTGGAAAACACCGAATCCTCAAGCGCCATGCTAGTCCACACCCATGACACCATGATGGCTTGTCCTCGCGGCTCGGATGCTCTAAAGACAAGTCAGAACACCGATAAACGGATAGACAGCAGACAGTCCAGCTTCTGGTGGCGCATTTTGATTCAGTTTGCCAACATAGTCCTGGCGCGAGCACAGCGGCACAGCGCAGCATTACCGAGGCACTCACTCTCACAGACGGTGGTGTTCGCTGCCTGCCATCGGCGGCGCACCGCTTCTTTCTGCTCCTTCTCCGCATTCACCGCCAGGTTCACCTCTGAGAGCAAAAGGTGTAAAAGGTGTAAAAAGCTCTAAAATTTTGGAACTTGTCTCGAAAGCGCCTTGAGGCGCAGCCGGGAGTACATGAGCCGTCCGGCCTCGGAGCTGGGAGCTTTCACAGCATTCACAGGAGGCCTCCATGCCATGTGTTTGCGTGGCTGTTGGCGCTAAGGGGCGAAGTCCTCACCTGCAGTCCTGACATCCTTCTGAAGACCTCAAATTGCAGGTCAGCACGCACGGCCAGATCCTCGCCATAACCACAAGACGTGCTTTGCAAGCGAAGGGACTACTTTGGACGGCAACGTTCTGGTGCATGAATGCCTGCACAAAGCATGTTGTCAAAAAGGCCACTTCATTTGCCCCCCAAGCTCCTGAAATGCTTCCGGCGCCATGCGAGTATCATTCACGGGAAAATTCCCTGGCAGCTGCACAAAGTGCACTCACCAGGGATGCTGGGTGCCGGCCTCCGACCATCGACATGTATTCAGCGAAACCTGCAGCTGTCACTTGCCAAGGTCTAGCAAGTTGGTAACGCCAAGGCGCCTTCAATCCAGCATGGAAGCCTCAGAAATTCGATGGGAATGGAAGCAGAAGACAGAGAGCTGTATGCTTTGCGGACATGGATGCATGGGGCTGTGGCTCGCTCTTCACCAGCAGCTCGGCAACATCTCTTGCATCCCTGCAGACCTTCATCATATGAGCCTCACAGACACCCCCGAGCCCTCCGGCGAGCACGGCTTGCAGTGACGCCTGTGCTGTTGGAGACAGCAGGTCCACGGAGTTGTCGTAATCTGGCGCAGACCTGTTCTCTTCCTTGTAACCTGCCAAAAGAAGTTGCTGTACACTCGGAAAACAGCCAGCAAGGGCTTCTGCTCGCCTAGCAAGCCGAACACGATTCCAATCTCAATCGCGTTGGTCAAAGGTACCTATCACACCGCAGACTCTTGTGCGGAAAGAAGAGGTGATGCTTCCCTCCAACCTGCCTCTGATAAACTACAGTCCTCGCCCAAATATCCGGCAAAGCAGGAACACACACCCGTAGCACTGTCGCAGTCGCCTGCCAGCATGACTGCATGGCAGACTGGGTGGCAGCTTTCCACTTCAGGGATTGCCTGCATTTGTGCAATTGCCAGGGCATCGCTTCTCTTCGCATCGAAGGCCGTAGTAAGGCTCAGGGCAACCGCATCCCCAAGAGGATTCCAGATCCTGCACTCAGTCTCTCCCCCTTCTTCCACAAGGCTTCACTGCCCCTCCCGCGAAGTCCTGTGAGCCCTGGAGGCAAGTCGCATTGTTGCTGCAAATTGGACACTCCCGACTGGCGCAGTCTGTGCCCGCGAAGGTTTCTGGACATTCCTTTGCATGGCACAGAAGCTTTCAACTGCTTTAAAGCCTTTTGACCTCACTCTGAAACCGGACACGAAGCGGCTTATGGAAGCCAAGCCTCGCAGGACCAGTCCCCGCTTTCCTTTTGGATGCAGTTGCCAACACCGCTGCACACGGGAGTGCCGGGACATAGAACTGTTGTGCTTGACGTCGTGCTGCTGAGTGAGGAGCTGGTTCCTCGGCACAAGAAGCCCAACTACAGGGGAGCGGAATGCATTCTTTGGCTGAGGGGTCACACACTTGCCAGAAAGTCTGCTGCTGTATGCGCAAGGCTTACGAACAGACCTACTTGTACTAGTAGCACCTGTGTAGCACTTTAAGCCCTTCTAGGCCCAGTGGCTGGTCGTAGGAGGCGCACCAGAAGAAACTGAGATGCCTTGCACCTGCAGCTCTTCAACGAATCCTGCGGTTCAAAGCAAAGCCAAATGCCAATGGCAAGACGAGTACTGTTACTTTCGGCGGTTGAACCCTCTATATTGGGTACGTCAGGTGCGTTTTGGGCAAGCAAAAGGGCCAGCTCGGCTCCTCGGCTGGCCAGCTCGCTGTTGATTGCGGCCTGCATCGATGCTGCGTTGGCCGCCCGGAGTGCAGAAAGAGTCCTTGGGAAGAGCTCCGGCCCCCTGAGAACAGCAAAGCACAAAAGGCTGCCGCAGCATTTGAGCTCACGCAACTGAAGTGAAGGAATGGTGCAAGGCCTCTCAGCTGGAATGTTGATACCGAACTCCAGCATCGGCGATGAATTCTGTAACCTGCGACCAGCCTTGCATGTTGGAAAGGATGCAAGCAGATGCAAGCAGATGTATCCCGGCCGACACCCTGACAAAACCAATCCGCGCAACTTGCAGCTCGTCGGGGCAGAGCTGCACCGCGACGAAAGACGAATCCACCTGAACAATAAGCCCTTTTCTAGCCTTTAGAGCTCTCTTGTATTATGTACAAGTTTGATTTTTGCTATACCCTAAACCCTCAACCGCATATGAATGGCCACTTTGTGCGTTCACCTGCCGTGGGCCTCAGCCACGGTGCTGACACCA